ATATATATTTATTTGTGTTAAGACCTCTATAACTTCAAATTTTTTTCATGTTCATTCCCATATGATATGCACAAATGGCCTATCCATTCTTTAATATCTATGCCGTCAACGGCCGGCGAGCTGGCCATGGGCCGTCTTAAATACTTTTTAAAACTGTCTTTTTCCAACGGTTGAACATGGCGCAACGCCCGCGCTATCGTTCCCGTGTGTGTCTTGTGTGTCCTGAAAACCTCGTGTGAAGACGAGGTGTCCGTGAGCCCGAGCTGTGATCAGCGGCCAGGGTCGGTACCTACGACCAAATTACGTTTCGCGTGTCGTCGTTGCTCGTTACGTCAAGTGAAATAAAATGTCGCTTGTGAACACGCCTGTTTGTCCGTCGGTTCTGTCGTGATCGAAGTCAGACGGTGAGTGAAACATTGAGTCTTCGCTCTCGTTTATTTACGCCGTGCGCGAGTTTGTTTACACTCTGCGTGATCGCAGGTGTTTGCCAGTGGAGTACATCGGTGTTATTTCGTTTTCGCGTTCGTGATCGAAACTCTCGCTACTCGCGCTGAAACCCGAGTTATCAACATCTAGCGACGAGTGAGGATATTATCCGCTGTCGCCGTTCCGGCGAGGGACCTACATTGGTCGGCACCAAGGAGCATAGCCACGCAGTCGCTGAACCACGCAGTCACCGAATTAAGTTTAGTCCCACGTGATCAGTGGGCTGTTTAAAAATCTAATTATTGTTCACCAGTCATTGTACTGTAGTTTTAAGTTTGTATTATTATAAAATATGGACTTCCCTTGTTACTTCTCGCATAGTTGCTGATCAGTATCGACACTATCGATCTAGTTAACGAAATTGCTCCACGAGTATAAAGTGTCACACACTCGCACATATGTATTAGGATCTTAATTACAATTTGTTACATTTTTAATTACAATGAACTTTACTATTATATCAAGTGAACGAAAAAATGATTTGATTTTGTATAATAATAGTAAATATTATAAAAAAGATTACGTAAAATATTTGGATTCTTTTAAATAGCAGTGCATACATAAAAAGTGTACTGCGAAAATATATTATGTAGATCAAGCAGTTAAGAACATTTTAAAAGATGAAAGTACACATAATGTCAACCTTCACCAAGAAACTAAATCAAGTATAACAAAAAAATCATTTTCGAATGGACTCAAAAGTCATAAATAGAGGCATTTTAACTAATCCAGAACTAACACAAACGTTTACAGGTTCAGATATCAATATATTTATCAATGTTTATACCGTTCTCGAAGATCGTCATATCCGAAACTCCCAACAAATATTATAGAAGTAATCAACGTAATGAGCGAGCGTAAAATTAAAACTGTCCATGACGAAAACTTTATTCTTGTTGTTAATTCAGTAAACAAAATTTTATGTTTTTCAACAGAGACGAATTTAAAACTACTATGTTCAGAAGACAAAATATTTGTGGATGGTACTTTTACCTACTGTCCAAAATATTTTCTTCAGCTTTTTACTATCCACATATTCAAGAACGGACATTATATTTCACTCGTGTACTTCTTACTACCAGACAAATGTAAAGACACATGCACTATCGTTCGGATATGTGGTTGAAAAATGTTGGGAAATTAATTTATTATACACTCCATCGAAAATAGTTTCCGATTTTTAAGAAGCTATACATATGGGTGCAAAAACAATATGGCCAGAAATACGGATGGTTGGTTGCAGATTTCATTTAACACAAAATTGGTGGAAACACATTCAAAGTCTTGGTAAACATATAAATTCAAATATACATACAATACTATTATGTATTATTAATATTAATTAATTTATAATTTTTATTTTTTAGGCTTATCAAAAGAATATAAAGACGCATCAAGTGAAATAGGTAGGTAATTGGCTAAAATGGGTATTTGGCTTACCATTACTAAATCCAGAAGAAGTAAGCGATTTCTTTACGACAGATTTGATGTCAGTTTTTCCAGTTGATGAAAGGATAATTGTTCAATTATTTTATTGGATTAACAAGTTCTGCGATTATTTAGTTGAATATTATATATTATATAACGTATATACGTATTTGGGCATCGAGAGAAATAACATCTGAACGTACTACAAATAGTTGTGATTCTTTCCACTCAAAATTAAATTCACAATTCACAAAAGCTCACCCCAACATTTTCATATTCACCCATGTTTTAAATAAAAAAATACAAACTGACACTTACATACATATAAACGGAATAAACAACTAGAAAGATAGCAAAAATAGTAGTTTTAACAAAAAAACAAAGTATTAAAAATTTATCAAATGATTTGAACGATAATAAAATTTCTAGATTCACTTATTTAAACATGTGTCCAAATATTCTCAAAAGTAGTTTGATTTATACTTACATTTTTATTTTATACTTATACCTATTAATAACTATTATTATCATTTTATTCAATTTAGACATGTGACCAAATATTATGATAAAAAATATTTACATTTATACATTTTTATTTTATACTGATATACTATTATTATCATTTTATTCAATTTAGGCATGTGACCAAATATTATGATCAAAAATATTTACATTTATGCATTTTTATTTTATACCTACATATAATTTATTATATAATTGTATACAATTTAGGGCCAAATAACATTCATAAATAAGGTTTTGGCTTAAGAAAAGAAAAATTAATACTTAAATTAAGGTTGGTCAAGAGTTCGAGACCTACCTTAAGTTATTATCACAAATTTTTATTTTTTAAATTATCAAATATTAAATTATTAAATATGAACAAAAGTATTATAAACAGTAGCCGGCTGAATCAATATGCAGTTTTATAAACTACTGTTAAACTACTGCGGGCGGAATTAATAGCCGGCGGAATCAATATAAACCTTTTTCCTAAGCAGGTAGTTTCGGCGGAATCAATAATTCCCCTGAGCGCGGTGTAGCGCGCTAAGGTTAGGCGGTCGAGTGTGATTAACCAGATTAAGACTGTGCATAATTGTGCACTGCGGCTTGAGGCGGAGTCTGGGCTAGGTCCAACTGTGACAAGTCTAGCCGGTGATTTAGATGCAGCTTAGATGGATACAGCTTAGGGCTGATTATGATGCCGTGTTGGACGGTCTGTGTGAGCTCGATAAGCTTTCCGAGTATGATGAAGGGTTATTGGCCAAGGTGCGGACATGTGAGAGTTATTTCAAGGTAGCGGCGGCGAAGTAAGCCCCAAAGGGAGCTGAGATTATTGATTTGTCGTACCTTAAGGATAAGTTGGGGTCAACCGGTCAATCAGCGCTGAACCCCGTGCTCCCGGAGTTCAACGGGGATTTCCGATTATAGCCAACGTTTCGAGATAGATTTACGGAACAGGTTGATTAGCATGATATTTCAAACATCGATAAAATGTATAATTATCTAATAGGGTGTCTCAAGGGCAACGCGGCCGAAGCGTTACTTTGTATTCCCGTGTCTACAGATAATGATGTACTCGCATGGTCCGTGTTATCCGAGCGTTTATATCGGAGCTTAATAATTTTGTAAGTACGTTTAACTAAGGTATTTCACTACTCAAAGCACTCAATGTACCGAATATAGGTTCCTTTATTTTATTCACTGTCGCGTTTAGACGTTTGCCTGTCGCTACACGTAAGTTATTCGAGTCGGGTAGTAAAGCGGAGTTTCCGTCAATTAGTTATTAAAATTTGTTCGCACTCGCGTGTCTATATTGGAGCTTGTCACTGACCCGCAGAAGGTTGGTACCGCTGCTGCGCCAGCTTCCAAGGCGGGCAAGCCTTTAGGTACAGCGCTCAAGACGGGAGATTACGGCGGGAAGTCGAACGGTCCCGTACCGATGTCGTTCGTAACGGCAAAAGAGGACACGAGTTGTCCGTGTTGTGCCGAATCACACCCACTAGGCGTTTGTACCAGTTTTAAGTCTTGGTCGGTAAAAGGTCGTACCAAATGGGCCCTTGAGAATCGTGTGTTAAGTGTTTTAATTGTTTAAATGTCGGTCATTCGATCCAGAAATGTAAGTCGAAACCTATTTGTAGGGAATGTTCACGTAAGCACCACACGCTTCTCCACCTGTCACCCGACGAGATGCAGGGCAGGGAGGAACCACCATCGGTCGAACCGGCGGTGTGTGCGTCTGTTGTGAATCCACCGGTCGCCCACTGTTGTTTTAGGTACCGCGCTCGTGCACGTGCGAGATAACACCAGCTCGGTGCAAACAATGCGGGCGTTAGTAGACAGCGCTTCGCAGATCAGCGCCGTTACCGCCTTGTGCATAAAACGTTTGGGTCTAAAAATGTCGCGGTGGACTGCACCAATAAGCGGGTTGTCGGGGACAACAGTCTCTGAAGTAGAGATGGGTAATTCATGAATAAATCGATTCAGTTAGATGAACCGATTGAATTGATTAAGTGTTTTAAAATGAATCGGTTCAATGGCAAACGTGAATTTTTGAATCGAATCATTCGAAATTCGAATCACTCAAATCACTGCAGTACTGCGCTTTTATAGATAAATCTTATCTACAACCGTGGTTGAAACCTATCTTGAAATACTATAACTTTGGTTAAAATCATGATACTAGATAAGACGTATCATTTAAGACGATTAGACGTACCTATTTAGTATTTTAAACTAAGTATTAAGTAAGTAATAAAATAATATACTTTATTAATTATTAACCAAATTGTGGAATTCATTTTTGTGAAATGAATATTGTGAATGTTGTGATTCATATTTAATTATTTTGACTACATAGTATAAACTTATTAACTTTAAAAACTTAAAAAAAAAAACAAAAAAACAAAATGTGTACATATACATGAGGCAATAAGGATAACTTTATTTTAAATTATTTGTTCTACTTTAGAAACCTTTTAAGAAAACAAAATGTGTACTGTTACGTATCAAAACCTTTTATAAAAACAAAATGTGTACCTACTGTTACATGAGGTTATAAGTAGATAAAAAAAATTAGTAAAATTTTATTTTAAATTACAATTTAAAAAAATTATTTGTTCTACTCTTTTACTAGTCAGTCTACTACGTTTTTCTGTTACAATTTGTCCACCCTTTGAAAATACACGCTCACTCGGGACTGATGAAGCTTGAACACATAAGCGCCGTTTCATTATTATAAATAATGTAGAATAAATGTTTTTATTTTCGTTCCACCACTTAAGCGGATCTGCAGTTCTTGGAATCAGTGGCTCCTGGAGATATTTATATACTTCATTTATGATTACAGCGGTAGGATTTCGAGACTGAATTATATCGCTTACTTCTGTGTCAAATTCGTTCCAAATAGAATCTATGTTCTGGTTCATTTCAACGTTTATCGGTTCCGACAAAGCTGGTACAGGTAATGCATTATTTTGCTGTTGTTGGCTTAAAATTAATTTGCCTTTGTTTATAGTTGATCACTTTACATCTTTTAAGCAAAGTTGTTTTTAAAGCCAAATTTTTTAAATCGAGGATCCAAAAAGGTCGCCTCTGCTAACAAAATGTGTTTTTTTGCATGTTTAAATCTATTGTCAACTTGTTCAGATAATTTTGTTATGACATTTTTAATTTCAGGGAGTGTTTGATATTCTGATTTTGGTTTACTACAGTAGTTACACAATGCCTAGCTAAATAGAATTGTTTTGGATATGGTTACACTTTTTTCACTGCTCATTTCGATGGTGATTTCATTGAACCGTTTTAATATATCACCCGACTTAGCTATTATTTCCCAATCATTAGATGTCAAGTTATTGTCGTAGTTCAAATCAGCTAACGCAGAGAGCAGTGGTGTTTTTAATTCTAAAAATCGTTGAAACATAAAAAAGTGGAATTCCACCTGGTAACAACATCTTGAATCATTGAACGTACAGGGGAATAACCTAACTGTTGTTGCATTTGATTTAATTTTTCAGAGCCAACCGTACTTCTTTTGAAGTATTCAACAATACTTTTCACTTTTTCCCTTGTGACATTTATTTACTGCAAAGATGATTGGACAACAAGGTTAAGACTGTGAGCAAAGCATGATATGTGTCTCCAATTACACAATCGAATAGCTGCAGTAACATTTGTAGCATTATCTGTTGTGCATGCTGCCACTTTATTTTGTAAGCCCCAATCTTTGAAATATTTAGAAGAGAATTTTTAATGTTTTCACTTGTGTGTCTCTGAGGAAATTTTGCACATTGAAGAAGATAAGATTTTAATTGACATGACTTATCTATAAAATGAACAGTCACTGCCATATAACTTTCATTTTTCAAAGATGTCCATGCGTGTGTAGTTACAGAAACATATTGTGCGTTAACTTCTATATCTGATTTAATTTCATCAGAAATCTTGTTATATAGAACAGGAAGTAATGAACCTGTAAGAGTTTTTCTAGAGGGAAGTGAATAGCCCGGATTCAACATGTTTATAAGTTTCTTAAATTCTTTATCATCAACTATACTAAAAGGGTAATATTCTTTAACGATCATTCTTATTACCTGTTGATCAATCAACTGTCTTTTAGATGCTGTAACTGGTTTGCTAAGAAAATTGGAAATCTGTTGTTGTTGACTACGTGCTGGCTGGTGAACAAGAGGGGGACATTCTCTATCCAAAGAAATTGAAGTTGACGGATTTTGAATGGACATCGGAGAAGGATCATCTATGTTTTCTTCGTCCACGTCATCATTTGGCCTTCTTCGTTTAGACAAATCAATTGTTACATGTTTTGATCTAATATGTCTTAATAAATTAGTTGTTGACGATTGGTTAAATTTAAGCACTATTTTACAAAAATTACATTTAGCTTTATCGTTTTCAACTATTATAAAATAATCCCAAATTGCGCTGGTCTTACGATTCATTTTTATAAAAAATAAATGTACTTAAAACACCTGTAATTTTAATTGAATAACCAAATGTATTCAAAACTATAAATTAACAAGGAAAGGAAAGGAATAGAACAAACTTCAGTTGTCACTGGTGAATTGTGAAAGATTATTATTAAAATTGAATGCAAACAAAATTATAAATAGCTATCAAACAAATCTAATATGCATGGACATGTTACATCCATGTCATTTATAGTATTATTTATAGTACATAATTATATATGTATACTCTGTAATGTTTTTCATGATTATGGAATAAATGATTTTGATGTAAAAACTGAATATTATAGACTAGAATATTTTATTTATATAAAATAAATATTATACAACAAACCATAACTAACATGACATAAGATTTTGTTTTGACTTATCAGATCCCTATGTGTAATAATAACAATATACCATTCTTATGTTCCGTTACCATTTCGCGCAGGGACGTTCGCTGGGTCTCGCGAGGTAGCTGCACGGCGTTTTGAAGCTATCGACTGTCCTCGAATCCAGTGTTAAAATCGTTATATGTTGATTTTATGTCCGAATATATCGCATTAGGACACATGTCAGTAGGCGACCTCTCCGGGACGATATATAATCCCCCACCATGCTGTGTATCGTCCGGAGGTCGATCCGAATAATATTAGTGTAGTATTCGATGCGGACCTTCGTTAAATGAGTGTTTTTGGCCCGGCCCAAAATTACAACAGGATATTGTGGATGTCCTAACTCTTTCCGCGTTCACAAATATACGTTCACGACGGACATCTGTAAGATGTACCGTCAAATTTTAGTTTTGCCGGAATATCAAAATGCTACGGACCCTCTACTCCACCCCTACACATAGTTATATTATACAGTATCCACTGTACTACGGTAACACATGGATAGGAAGATAATGTCGGCAGCACACAGACCATGGAAGAGCAACACTATAATTGCTGACACCAGTCTCGGCATCTGCCAACGGCTGGATTACAAACCGGAGCCGGTAATAAAAGCTATGAGAACTCCTCGGCTCATAGTAGATTCTGCAATTTAGATCTTGGCACTGAAACCACTTTTATCAGCTACATAGGCGTGCGCATGAATTTTGTATGGGGTGTGCCATGAAGAAAATTCGGCCGCTTTCCCTTATATGGGCTTAAGCAAATCTAACCTAACCTCAATCTAAAAAAGGATAAATTTAATGCAAAATATCAATTCATAAAAATATATGTTGATTAAATGTTGTGCTTCACAAAATGTTGATATATTTTTACAATAAAGTATATACCTATATACCTAATGGCTATTAACTTACATTAGAACATAAAAAATAAAATTATCCAGAGAACCACGAAGTTGTTCAGTCTCTTTTTTCCTATTTATCTTAATTCTGAGTTTCTCAGTACTTCCCATATCTTTTCTTTTTACTCCTGACATAATGTCTAATGTATTAAACACATACAACTCAAGGCTCAATATGCACACAAATACACAATTTAAAATAAACGTGAATACTCGTACTTAATTATGTATATAGTGTAAATTGTATAAAATCGACATTCGATACTAAAACAATTCATAAACGGCAGTCCTGAGTCTAGTACTCAACTATTATTTATTACAAAAACAAAATACGTGTATAGATAATATCGACATCTTATCGTATACAATGTATCTATTATCAATGTGATACCATCGATGTGTGATACAAATATACAATACACGCCTTGTTAGTAATGTGGCGAACCAGTGTTCACCACATGCTCCCTCCCTATGTCGGTCGCGCTCCCAGTGTTGGCAGCACCGCTCGGCCCTCCGCGTCGTTCGCGACCGCGAAGCGTCGGGCGGCTGCCAACGGTCTCTCCGCCGGTAACCGCGAAACAGAAAACACGCCGTCGCTAACGATCGCGCTTTTAGCAACACGCTCGCACGATCCGCACACCAAAAACGCCATCTTCGCCGTCCGCGTGCTCGTGCTACACGTCTTTCGTATCCCGCGACACGACCACAGGTCTCTCTCGCGTACGCGACCGTAGCACGCACTCCGCGACGGACACACGGCGTACCCACGCTCATCGCGGAAGAATCCCGACCCATGTGTCGGAACCCGCAAACGCACGTGACAACCGCTCACCTCCGAGCGCTGATCGACTCGATCTTTTCGCCTTTTCGTTAAGTGTAATTGTTTTTCTGTAATAAACCGCGCATCGCGCACCTTACACGTTATACGCGTTCTTGTTTATTTTTTAATCGTTGGTGTTCGATCGTGATAACGACTCGAACCCCACAGTAAATTTAGTTGATACGGCATAATGATATCACTGGTTAGATAATGGTTTGATTTATTGGTTATTTAAAGTTGTTCATAGCGTTCATACCACGGTTTAAGATAGACACGTCGGTTGCGCATCGACGTATGTTAAGCTTACTGACCAAGTGACTATGCAATGTACTAACATAAACTGACTGACAGTAAGTGCCATCTAGCGTTGACGCCTATAAGTTTTACTAAATCGTGCTAAAACAGTAATTTTATTTTGCAATGATTTTAATTATGACTATTGTTAACTTATTTTTAATCTCTCTAGGTATCTCAAACCTCAATATTATTCACTGAGTGTCTCTTCCACTTTAGGTCTTTGCACATTGTCAACCATTTGCTATTCTACGAACTACAATATTAACGTTGTTTAATTTTATTACATACTAACTAGGTACATATTTACAACACATTTTTATAGGAAATCTTTTTTAAAATAAATCAACCAAATAAATTCATTATATATTATATTAATTTAATTAGATACTTAAATAGTAAATTACAACTAACACAAAAAGAATAAACATGACATATGCAATTTAAATTAGTTGGATAAGTAAGTGATTAAGAATTTATAATAATAATAATACTTGTGAAATACTGAAATCTTAAAAATATATTTAATTAATTAATCCTCTAATATCAAGAAATAATAATACCAATCTAAAAGTTAAACTTCTAATTTACAAAACCCTCCTGAAACCTATTTGGACTTATGGCATACAGCTCTGGGGTTCAGCAAAAAAATCCAATACCAATAAAATACAAGTATTCCAAAACCTAGCTCTTCGACGACTCTCCAATGCACCACTGTACTGCCAGTGGGCGGTTCCTTATTCAATTGTCCACGTCCTGTCTTCTCTCAGCACATAAGCTTATTGTACATTACTTGTAGGTAAAGATTGTTTATTTCTAATAAAAAAAACGAATACAACAATAGTTATGACTAGACATTTTAAAAATTTAAATTTAAATATAATATATACACTGTGTTAAATATTAAATCTATAACTCAATCATTTAATACTGTTTAAATTAATGTCATTCGACATTCAACTAGTCATTAGGACTGTTTAATCTAAATAATAATCAACTAATCAAGGTTTATTTGATAATTAAAAATTAAAAAGCGATTTTGTGAAATAAAAAAACCGTGGAGCTTATTCCGTTCAGAAAGGAATTATTATTAAAACAATAATATACTATAGATTATGAATATTACCGCTAGATCGCGTTATGTGCCAGTAAGTTTTTGTAAACGCTTTCTCATTCCACTTTTTTTCGTTCGACGCGCAACCAGTCTATCTTAAATCGTGGTTCATACCATCATACATTAACCTTGGCATATTGTCTGTATTATCATTTTTGCTAGAGTGCCTAATTTATTTTCTCTAATTTTTACTATTTGTAGCTTAAAATTTAAACGAAGTCCCTGAATGAATAAAAGTTGTACAAAAAGCCAAGGGCCACGGGGTGTGCCATGGAACACCTGGCACACCCTGTGCGCACGCCTATGATCAGCTATAAAACTATACCGTGAGTACACAGGTAGACCGACACCCCGCATCGACCGGCGGCACATCTACAGCCCAGGGTCATAAAGTCAGTATTCGCACTACGAGATAGTCGACGATCTAATAATGGAAGGCCCCCTGGACTGTGGGAACCCACGAAGCACTCCGCTAGGGATCTTGTAAGAGAAGGGATAGGACTATACAGGGTGTTGCACGATAAATGTGTCAAACTTCTAGAGGTGTTCTACACCTCAAATGGAACAAAAAAAGTTATTGTGATTTGTGACCATAATCGAATTATCAATAATAAGGTTGATCATTTCCATGTTTGTGTTTTTTTGTTAAACGCAAGTTTGTTAAAACTATTACCTAACAACAGAACAACGTCGAGGCATTTTAAAAACTGTATCAACATTTATTAAAAGTACAACTACGGACAATATTAAAATTTAATATTCATAATTTCCGTGAATTTTTGAGACCAAAATTAGTTCAAAATAGTAACCATCTAAATATACAATATTAGTAACTTTATTTGACACTAGGAGCTTCAACCCCTAGTTGTACATTTCGGCGACCTATAGGACGGGGGAGTGGCAATGTCGAAACATTTGAGGACCGTTCTACTACCCCCCAACTATGTTGATACCAGTCCATACTATCTTAGTCCGTGGATATAATGGACTGGAAACGTCATGGTGGACGGGTGTCGGGGGACAGCCCTCAAAAGACGAATGGATCTTCGCAGGAAAAATTCCAAAAGAATCCAACATGGCGTCAAATCGGTTATCACATTTATCAGTACACATTTTTCAAACGGTTATCAAACTAAGTTTATCAACATTTTATTATTTATTATTACTTATTTCCATAAAATTAATTATACAATTATTTTTTATTTTTTATGATTAATTAATATTACAATATAAATTATTAGTGCAATGAGTTCCAGAGATTGTGTTCTATGTAATACTAAATTTTCAACAATAAACATTTAAAAAAAAAAACATACAGATATTTTACCACAGGTACATATTTAATGTCAAGTTTTATAAATGTTAGGCCATAGTTAAACACAAAAATTGTTTCATTAAAAATAAAAATTTTTTTATTTTGATTTATTTTATAAAAAATATGTCTGAATATGTCATCTTGTATTTTGAATACATAATATAATATAATATAATAATTTATAAGGTTAATCGCATACAGAAAAATGGTTATACTTGTAACAACTGAAATCAAATGTGTAATTAAAAAAAAAATATTATCAGACATTTGAAACACGAACATAGTGAACTAAAAATTAAATGTTCATTTGAGAATTGTGACAGGTCTTATAAAACATTAAAATGTTTTTCCAAGCATTTAAAAAATGATCACAACATTGACATCAACACAGAATCACTAAGTTTTAATATTCTATCTATCAGCCTTATGAATTTTTGGTTGCTTCACCTATAACAGAACTGTACGTCTGCACATAACATTAATATAAATAATTATAATATAATATTATTACATAACATAATATTTGGGTGATAAGGCAACTGCCGTGATAGTGTGTACTGATAAATGTGATAACCGATTTGACGACATGTTGGATTCTTTTGGAATTTTTCCTGCGAAGATCCATTCGTCTCAAAATTTATTTCAAGAAAGTTTCTAGATAGTCTTGTTGATATAATTTTATTTCAAACTAATTTATATGCCCAACAAGCTCAAAAACCATACACACCAGCTACTAAAAAAGAGTTGAAAACTTTTTTAGGTTTAAATATTTAAATGGGGATAAAAAGGCTACGATCATATAGAGATTACAGGACCAGACTTGAATGACCCTTTTATATCTAAGCACATGACAGTCAATAGAATTTGGATGGGTTTTGTCTAATCTCCATTGCAACGATAGTTCATTAGAACCAAAACGGGGATCAACCAGTTTTGACAAATTATACAAGCTTAGGACTGTGATTTAAAAATAAAGTGACTGTTTTCTAAAATCCAAAAAACTTACTCAAAATCTTACAATTGATGAGTCAATGGTAAAGTTCAAAGGCCGCTCTACTATAAAACAATATATGCCACAAAAACCGATCAAAAAGGGGTACAAGATTTGGATGCTCAATGATAGAACTAAGTATACATCAAAGTTTCAAGTTTATACTGTAAAAGTTGTAAGTGGTGTGGAAAAGTCACTAGGTGAAAAGATAGTAAACGATCTCATGGTTGGTTTAGAACACGATTAAAGATAGTATGGTTGCACAACGACCCATAATAAAGTGTTTCTCAGAGTTTTCTTGTTATCACAACGACTAGCAGAACCGAGCATTAGCGCTCCTAGCGTTTAAATATTGAATAATAATTGATAATATACTATTTTTAATCGCGTCATGAATTTACGTTATAAAAAATAAAATACGGAATAACAAATAATAAATTTATATTTTAGAAATTATAATATTGTGTTGTTACATTACATAATTTTTATATTTTAATAAATAATAATTTTATTTAAACAATATTAATAATATATTTTTGATGATTAAATAAAGTATAATATATATACTTCCCTTTCAGTGTAAATTCTAATTTCATTTAACTACCTACCTAGGAGTTTTGATAATTGTTTTTTAGTTTTATTTTGTTGTTTTATTCATTTTCTTTTTAATATAATATGTATACTGTCTCATTCTCATTTTAACACATGTGCTACATAATCTGTGAGAATATCAGTTTGGTGCACATTACATTCAAATGTCAAAAGATTATTAGTACTTAGAAAATCTGACAATGTTTCATTAAACACATCAATAGAGCCAACATGTTTAAGCTTCTCAGAATGAGAAATAATTTTTTATTAGGATGTGACTTTAAACCAAACTTTACAATTAAAATTACGTAGGTAGTAGGTACCAAGTAATCACGAATATAAAAATCGTTGAAAATATCGTATTTTTAATCGTGCATGTACTTTTTTTGCATTTTCGCGGGAAAATAATGTGCATTTCAAAATTATGGGTTATTCCTTGTCACGCAGTTGTTGTCTCTACAATTATGGGCTTAACGAAGTTCTAATAAATGTGTTAGGTAAAATATTATTGTCCTTACAAGTGCTCAATATTTTAAAGTTTAATTATTTGTTATTTTAAGTATGAAACACACTTAAGTACCCCAAATCTCTCTCCCTAAGCTTGTCACAATTAGTAATTTTCTGACTTATTTTTAAATATTTCAGATACTATACGGTATTTAATGAGTTATCAACCAATTATTATAATCATAAAACTCTTCTCTAAAATTTGTTTTTAAGATAAAAAAAATTGTCGCTGAGTAAGTAGTGTTTTGGTTTAAGTTTGTTTCAGTCACATAATTTTTTCTCTCTCCCTAAACATTTTTTTTAAATTGCCACCACTAAAAGGATAATGGAAATTTTGTGTCAATGTAAAGTGGCAACACTGCTTCAGCATGATATCACAACACGAGTTTTGTTTTTGACATTAGAAAAACTTATCAGTTGTGTGCGCGCTTGTAAACAGTGCGATTCGTTCGCGCGTGATTTTATTGAACATCATTCCCTAAGGCGTATCAAATACTTGTGGTAAGTGTATTTTAGATTATAAATAATTACATTTTATTTACATTATTGATAAGAATGTATGTACCATAAAGACGTTCTAGAAATAATACATAATCTTATCAAAAATGATTGTTAACTGTTTAAACCTCTCTCCCTACATTCTCTCTCCCTAATATAACTAAAAAAATTAAATTTTTAGGGAGAGAGAATACAAATTAGGGAGAGACAATACTTTACTTTATTTATATATTTTATTGTTGTTTAAAGAAATTTATAGTGACTGATGGTTTCTATTTAATAGGTGGTCTCGTACATGTATGAGTTTAGATTATGGCACCAAAAAAAAAACTGAGTAAGGAGCAGTTAAAAGCGAAAGCGAGAGAGTATCATCAAAA